GCCGTGCAGGTATGACCGAATTGTCGGGTGAGACATACACAAAACAGGAATGGAGATAATGTGGCCGTTAGGGACAGACAGGTGTACAGTTTAGAGGGGAAAATAAGAAAAGATGATCAGATCACCACAGCAATGGTTATCGGATAGCCGATCCTGGATGCCTAGCAATTCTGATGTTCCTGAAACAGAGCAGGTTGCAAACAAGTTATGAGTATTCATCGAAAAAGGCAGACTTTTGAACCGATTCCACCTCGTATCCAGATGCGAAATTAAGCCTAGGACTATGTAAACACGTGAACCACCCGGTGCAATACCATCAGAATTGAGTTATCTCTGTCTGGCTTTTCGCTATCATCAACAAGGCAGGTCACGATTTCAGACAACTTCGGCCAAAATAGTGTGAGAATCGAGAAGACGTTGCATAGGACCTAGAAGCCTGCTGGCAAATACCTATTAGGATGTTTTCGGCGAGCTACTGTCGAGCGAGTATTCAGATCGTCCTGGTGAATGACATAGTGACTAAAAAGTCTTCTCTAATCTGTTGCTTTGGGAAGTTGGGGTAAGAATGATTGCATAAATAGTTAAGTACAGTCACCTTTTTTAGCTTTCCTATCAAGTTAAATCCAATTAATATAATGATGAACGAGATGAAGAAGATTACTATATGTTTTTGAAAGTCAACAAAAGTAAGGAATAATTCACTAATATCTGGAAAAGACTTTGTGTAAGATGAAATTCGTTAATTTTATTGAGAAACAACCTCAGGCAACCATTCGAAATCTGTGTGAACCCAAAGGGGAGGACTTTCATTTCGTATGAAAGTGCATGAAGAAGAGATTCGTAGGCCAATCTCACCAGAAGAAGACGGATGAATCGCGTTGTACTGCAGCCGTTTGGCTTTTATACGACGTTCAGGTTGACGCAGTCCACGAGACCTCCTCCCTTGTTTCGGGTGTAAAACGAGGCAGGAAGTGTCGTAGACTGTGTCAAACTAAACGTCATATTAAAAGCCAAACGGCCACGGTACAGCGGGATTCACCCGTCCTCTGCTCGTGAGATCGACCTACGAATCTCTTCTTCATGTATTTATAGTATCGTTGGTAAACCATCTTTTCATAATAGCGTACTTCGAAATTGTTTTTACCTTGTCGAAGTGTCCAGCCCATTCACGTTCATTCTAACGATAGTTGACCAATCCGAACAGTGATGTGATTTCAGCCATTCGAAACATCGGAAGATTGTATGAAGGGTACAAGTTCCAGGCTGGAATAAACTACTGGTGAACGCAATGGAATAGGCTCATGAGGTTGACACAGAATCAGTCTTTGGGAGCACCTGCATGATTGAGCAGAACCTATTACGCGCAAAGAGGGTTGTGACAGTTAAGCTATTTCAACTGGAATTAGGCATATTCAACCCGCATTACGGTGACGTGACTTAAATTTGGCAAGCAACATGAGATTCGCAAAGGGTTTATTTACTGTATGTAGACCTTTTCTCGCATTTTGCCAGCTGGCACACATTTTTCGCGTCCCCTTCTGCTCTCAGTCAATATTCTTCTCTTTTCGTGTCCTCTTGGGTTAGGAATGCCTCGGTCGCAAGAATTCCTCTTTACTGACTCCCACAGGACCTATGTGTTGTAACTAGATATGAGATCGGCAATGAGGTGGCTTTCAAGGTGTAGAGTGGCATAAATAAAAAAATGAAACAAGAAGTTACCGAGTGTCGTGAGTGTCCTTCTTGAAGGTGAAGCCGAATATAGCAATCTTTTTCCTATTGACCGTATCGAAGAGGGAGGCCAAAATCCGTCGAGCACAGCGTTCCCGTTGATAGTCGTTCATGTCAATGACACTCCGCCAATAGGCCGCCACCTTGGGTAGGTTGAGAGACTCACAAAGGTATACCTGGAGCAGAATGACAAAATAAGGCATGAGAGTAAGTTAATAGTAGACATGAGGAGACCAGTCTACCAAAATATTGAAATTCAGATAAAAAAGTCTTGAGAAAACCGGCGTCCAAGTCTGCGAGACGTATATAATGAGTACATCATGCGAGGAATCGAGGTTGAAATCAATGAACAAATAATAATTAATTGAGAATAGTACAGGGATTGAAGTATGAATCCCACCAAGAATATAACAATTATAGCATATCACGGATCGGCTTCAATTTTCGTATTTCATCAACGTCTCATAGTGGGAGGCCTGTCTGAAGTTGATATACTTTTATCCATGGCTGCTCAACCAGCGTTTTCTGTTCGGGGAGACACTCTTTGCTAGCTACTTGGTTCACTATCACCTTTAGAAGTGAACAACTTTTAGTAAGCACACCGACAAATAAACATGACGAGGTAGTAAGTTTGCATAGTTTCAATGGCTATGCTCCGAACTATCAAGAGTTAGCAACGTTTATGGAATGTCCTTCAGAGATGCACGCCGGGAAATTTCATCTTTCTAAGGTAAAGCCAAACAAAACAGCCTGGCCGTACCAGGTCACATTGATGCATCTATTTTTCTGAAGCGTGTCAAAGGGTCCTATTAAGAAATATGGGTCACCAAGTGGCGCCAAAGCGCAGAAAGACTAATAATAATAATAATAATAATATTAATAATAATACTGCCTCCTG